TCAGGCTGTTCCGTTGCCGTCGCTCTCGGGTTCACTGGACGACACTTTTCTTTGCAGTCACTGCATGGCTGCCTGGTGCAGCAGAACTTGCTCTCAGCCTCCACTGAGCTCAGCCATTTCCCTTTTACTTGCACATTTAAAGGCCATTGTAGGGTTATTAACTGTCCTAATTTCAATATCATGTCTCATATCAGAGAGGCCTGATGAGCAGGAGAGTCAGGGAACAGCTGGTCATATAGAGCGTTTGTGAATTAAGTTTGCCATCTTTCATGGATGTGGTTCGTGGCTCTCCCAAAACAATTGCAATGGTAACATGAAAGATCACCGATCAGATCACCATAACAGATACAGAAATAATGAATACACTTGAAATACTGACTCAACAACCAATCTGTGCCCCAGAAACACCCAGTGAACATGTGCTAGAGACATGGCGCCACTGGATCTGCTCCACACAGGGCTGCTGCACCCTCCAGCTGCAGGGGACGCAGGTCTGGAAGCAATAAAGGGAGGTGTGTCTGGGGCTGTTTGGGTTTGACAGTGATTCCCTGAGAGGTTCTTACATGTGTTCAGTGAGCACCCAGATATTGCAGGCGAAGTTCCAGGACAGCGTCTGACATCACAGACTGAGTTCTGTCTAACAATTTTTCTGGTTTTCTGATTCTTCACTACCCACAACTGCATGAGGACGTTTTTGAAACTTGGAGGAGAGGGATGGTCAGAGGAGAGTCTACTCATAGCACAGGGGCTTCTGTACATGGCCACCACAAACTTGAGTTGCAACCAAGTCCTGGCCACATGCCAGCTGGGAGTCCTGGTTGGAATGGATGTGAGGCTTATCCTGTGATTGTGATGGGGAAGAATGGTCCCAGCAGGTGTGGCAACTGCACAGCTCCTGCCTGGGCCTCGGATGTCACTCCTGGTGGGCGCTGCCCTCCCTGAATTGTCACTAACATGCCATCTAGTGACAACACAGGCAGTAACTTAACTATCACTGCATTTTTGGTTTTCAGGTATTGGACGTGAAGCCCTGATGCTTCAATCTTCACTGTGGATTTTCACCCACGTGTGTTTATGGCAACAAATATTCTCAAATCCCAAGCCCAGAGAACTTGACACTTGACTAGCATGTTTTAACGTAGACAGTTCCAGA